TCAAGCGGCTCTGTATTTTTTTGGCCGCCAGATGGCGCCAAATGGGATGTGTTGAAAAGCTTCTGGTAATAAACCATTTTTTGATACACGCTTCAGTTGTTCAGTAAGCTTCATTTGGCCAACACTATTGCAGTTTCCTTGAACAACTGCTCCACAGCAATAAATAAATAAATAAAGGGTGAAGGATAACGTCCCTTCAGGTTCCTGAGTGAATCACATGACTGGTTGAAACCATCGATGCTGTTATGTAAGAAGACAAACAGAAACAGTGGTAACAGTTCCAAACATAAGTTTACATAATCCACATGAGCCAAGGTGTGAAAACGGGTCATGTGATTAGAGGATCATTAGGGGGTCCTTTTGTCCCTCTTGGGGGGGATACTCCCACTGGGTTTAAATCTGGGGCTCTCAACTATTTGACCCTAGAACTGAAGAAGCTTCTCGGATGAGAGGTGAAACGTCTTCAAGCAACTTAAAGTCCAGACGCTTTTCTTTCCAAGCTCCTTTGACTACGATGACCTGGATGACTGAGAACCTTCACAGACATACTTTTCCATAGGAATGCTTTCTTTTGTTTGTTTTCAGATAATGAAGTAATTTGTCAAGACTATGTTTAACTTTTATAGAGCCATTTAGCTGCTGGATAGTTAATTAGGAGAGTAGTGAGCATTATGTGATTCTCAGCTATTTGCATTGAGTTTTAATGCCTATTGGGTGCCATTTGGTGCTCAAAAATACGAAAAATGTTGCTTGAATCCGCAACTTAAAATGAACTGCTTCATTATGATTGTCCAATCTACCAAGCTGAGGCTACAGCTTCTGTTTTTTAATGTTGCTTCAATTTTGTGTGATATTGGGCTACCGTTGTGGTGCTTTGATCATGTATGTTTTGGGGATTGAAAAAATAATGTTATATCTATTTCACAAATAAATAATTTTGATGAGTTAACCTTCCTTGTTTAAACATTGGCCATGATGTGGTTTCCCTCATGCTTGACCTCTTGACGTATGTGAACCTAAAAGTTAAAAATCCATCCATCCATCCATTTTATTTCACTTATCTAATTCAGGGTCACGTTGCATTATATACAATAATGTACAACACACACATGCAATAGGTTAGGAGTAACCCTTGTGCTGTAAGTTCCCTGCTGTCCCAGGGTTATGTTACTGTCCAGTGGAAAGAAACCTTTATATATAATATAGTATGGTTTATATGTATAGTCTATTATAGTCGATTCATATCCTGCCAATGAATCACTTCATTACAAACAACTGAATCAACTACTGAGGCTGTGATGTATTGAGTGAAGCTTCGGACGTCACTGCTTTACTCTCTCAGGCTGTATCTGAAATTAAGAGCCACGAGTTTCATGGTGTTAAGCTGTGCTACAACTATTTGGATAGACATATTGTCACATCTATCATTGACTTGCTGTCTTTAACAGCTGCTGATAGCTGAAAATTTGCCTGTGAACATGCCATGAGTGGCTGCTGTAGCCAATCAAAATTACTCAAAGAGTGCATTAATGATTTATCTATAAGTAACAAAATAAGCTAGAACAACATCGAAAGAATAGTAGGTCTCAGTTTTCTTACTGAAGGTCAGGGTTAATGATTAAACAACAAGAAGGAAATCAAACAACCATCCCCTGTCCTTTTGAACAATAACATTAACTGGAAATGCTCATGGGTTTTACATAGAAAGTTCCTACTGGTCAAACAAGTAATAGAGGTGACATTTATTATTATTATTATTATTATCTTTTTTATTATTATTATCATAACTGTTATCCTGTGTATATATTCTTGAACCAAAATACAAAAAGGACTTTTGCACTGTATGCATTGCATAATGAAACAGTGATTCATATTTTCAGGAACTGCACCCACACAACAATCTCCTGGACTGATAGGATGACTTTTTTCATGAAAATGTATTGCCATTTCAGTACAAATTTATCCTATTTTTTATGGAAAGTTATTCTTATGGTCCAGTACAGTGTGCATTTTCCCCCTTTATGGAAAATGTCTCATTCATACCATGACGTTTTCACAACAAGGACCAAAGTATTTTTAGTCTTTATATAAATAGCATGAAAGTTAGACGTAATCTCAAAGTAAAGGTAACTCTGGCATTGCTTGTGCTCTTGTTTGTTTGTTGTTGTTGTTGTTTTGTTGCTGAAGGGTTAACTGTCTGCATGAATTGAGCTGCAGAGATGAGATTATAAAACTGCCCAACTGGAATCTTTCTGCAACTCTCTATGCCTAGAAATTTTGTCCATAAAAATTCTGAGCAAAATCAGTGACAAAGGGAAGCCCTGGGAGTGTGCAACACCCACCAGGAATGAGTGTGAATTAATGGCAGCTATCCTCACCAATCTCCTGCCTTCC